GCTTTTGTGTTTGACTGCCTTTTGCCTCATAGCCATTGCCAAATCTTTTTTTTTTAAGTTACTAAGGCTAGAAAACGATATTTACCCATTGGTAATTATTATCAGTAAATTGGTTTTTAGCATCAGTTTACTCAAAGTAAAATAGCGGTCCTTAAGAGAAAACATTCTAGAGCCTCATGCTAAATTATCAAAGAGGAATATGAATATATATATATTTTTTTAATGGATTTCCCTTGAAACTTAGCAAGGTACAGTCAAAATTAAATGAACAGTAGTAGTCACTAGTTTTAGTAACTGTTCAGTGGCTCACATTTTATCACATTTTAAGTCTTTCAATGGGATTACCAGTATATATTAATAATTTTCAGTATCAAGTGCAAAAGTGAGGTTACCAAGGATCACTGTGGTTATTTTTTAAAATTTATTTAAATTCAAGTTAGCTAACATAGTAGTATAGTATACTATGAGTATAGTACTGGCTTCAGGAGCAGAATGTAGTGATTCATCACTTACATAGAACATACAGCACTCATCCCGTTTTTAAGGGCTTGAACTCAAGATCCTGAGATCAAGACCTGAGCTGAGATTAAGAGTCAGATGCTTGACTGACTGAGCCACCCAGGAGCCCTCTTGGCTATTTAAGTTAATAAAGATTAAATAAAAGTTAAAATTTACTTCCTCAGTCATACTAGGTACATTGTGCTTAGTAACCACATGTACCTAGTGGCTACAGTATCAGTTGGGATAGATACAGAATATTTCTGTTGCAGAAAGTTCTGTTGAATAGTTGGTCCACAATATTGAACTATTAATGTTGAAACTATGTCAAAAGTTATATTCCCTTAAAGATGAACCCATGTTAATAATAGCTATTAGAGCCGGGGTGCCAGTGGTAGATCAAATACTTGAAATGATAATGTTGGTTCATAATTTCAAGCAATGCGAACCTAAAAAAACAAAAGACCTGGTACAATTCCTCCTCAGCCAGAGAGTTTGACATTTTTTCCAAGGTCCAGATGCAGGGGTATAAAAGCAAAAAGCCTCAAACATCATCAATCACTGTTAAGTAGAGGTCTGACTGCATCTAATTTAGGGGGAAGATTATTGACTCAGCGGCATGCACCCACATGTAATGATAAAGTACAATACTTTTGTAAAAGCTGGTGATTTTTTAAAAATAGGACTAGCAAAGTAAAACAAAATTTAACCAAGGCTAGAGAATAGTACATTTGCGGACAATCACAGATTATTAATGTTGGTTCTTATGTAAGGTATATGCATACTTTAAATACAGTTTGCCTTTATTGGAAAACTACTGTCTGGTTGGGGAGGGAACTTAAAAGCAAGTGTGGTCACAAGTGTTGATCCTACCCCACTTGAATTCCATTAAAATGGAATGAAGGTACCTCAAACTGTTTATCAGAAATATAAAGGATTTTCTTCCAGGTACAGTGCTGAAAGATACACAGTGCTGGATAACCTACATCCTGAGAGAAGGCAGTTTGATCAGTAAGTAAGGAAGCCCTAGCAGAACCCATTTCTGACCCACAATTTAAAGGGGAAGGAGACTTTTGGAAACACACCATTTCTTTTCCCAGATAAGGTTTTGGTTTTTGTTTCTTTTTTTTAAAGATTTTGTTCATCTATTTGACACACAGAGAAATCACAAGTAGGCAGAGAGGCAGAGAGGGGGAAGCAGGCTCTCCGCTGAGCAGAGAGCCCAATGCGGGACTCAGTCCCAGGACCCTGAGATCATGACCTGAGCCGAAGGTAGAGGCTTAACCCACTGAGCCACCCAGGTACCTTCAGATAAGGTTTGATCTCCTTTAGGGAACTTACTCCTTTGGTTTTCCCCTTTCTCTTCTGTATCTTTACTTTTTTTCTCTATGCTGACTCATTCATACCAGTATTTAAATGTGGTTAAGTTTCTCAACATCTTTGAAAAACCTTCCAACATTTACCTCCACCCACTGCCATATTTTGCCCTGCGTCAGTTAAACTACTCATAGGGGTTCTCCAAATTCTGTCTCCACTTCAAAACCCATGCACAAGTCAACTCCACTAAAACTTGAGTCAACAAAGACTTTGTTGCTAAATTCTATAGGTTAGATGAGGGTTTTTTTTTTTTTCATTCTTTTTAACGAACACTTAAAATTTACTACTTTCTCCTCCTTAAAAAGCAGCCTTCTCTTAAACTTCTCTGACTTCACACCTGGTTCATTCTGTTTCTCTGCCCACTCCTTAGTGTCCTTTTGGTGACTCATCTGAGTCTCCTCTGGCTGTCTCCAGGCCCTTTTTTGTCCTGAACCTGCACCAGATTTCATGTACTCCAATGGCTTCAAATGAACATCTGTATTCTGATGATTTTCTTTCCTTTTTTTTTTTTTTTTTAAGATTTTATTTATTTGAGAGAAAACACAAGGCAGGGAGAAGCAGACTCTGCGCTGAGCAAAGAGCCCAACATGGGGCTCAATCCCAGGACCCTGGGATCATGACCTGACCTCAAGGCACTTAACCGACGGAGCCACCCAGGCGCCCCTCGGATTGATTGTTTTTCTGTAGTTCCAGCCTGGATCTCTCCAGTGAGTTTCAGATGCACATCTAGTTGGCATCTCCTCCTGAGTGTTCGTAGAGGCACCTCAAATTAGCATGTCCCGATCTGGATATCATCTTTCTCGTGAATTTTTCATGTATGTCTTAATCTTAGCAAGTGATGCTACCATCTAGCTATTCAGTTTTAACAAGCCAGAAACCTGGATGTCATTCTTGAATCTTTAATTGTCCCATCATCTGTATCCAAAATCATCAAGTTTTTCCCATTTTAGCAACTATTTCTCAAATGCAGCCACTTTCCACCTTACCTACGGATACCCTTTTAGTACATGCCAGTAATTTCCAATCTAGATTATTTTACCAGCCTCCTATTATATCTCCCCTCTAGTCAAGTATCCACATCAGTAGTTCTCTGAATAAACTCAAATCTGATTCCCTCCCATCCTTAAAATCCCTCAAAGACTCCTTGGTGCCTTTGTCTCACAATAACTCTTCATCACAACCCCAGTTTACAAACCTACTCCAGCCTTTACATTTCCTTTCCCTTGCTTCTTGTCTTCACACATTCGGTCTCTACCTGGACAATCTCTTCCATCTCTCCCCACAAATGTCACCCCATTCTCCTGGCTAATTTCTACTCCTTCTTAAGGTCTTGTTTGGACATTATTTCCTCTTAGAGACTTCTTGCCAATCCTCCCCCTCGAAACCGTTAGGGACCTGTCCTACAGTATCTAATTCTTTACCTATAGATGCACTTGCACACTATTTAGGCGTGTGTATCCCTCGCTGGACTGCAAATTACTCAAGAGCAGACTTGTGTCTTTTTCACTGATTAATCCTCTGGTACATAGGTGTGCAACCACCTTCTGTATCAAAGTTTCACAAGCCAAGGCAATACTGCTCTGCTCTAATGACCCCAGGACCAGGTACCAAACAACTTGGGATAGCCCCTATGTCCCAAAGCTCACTGAAATTTTTCTAGCCAATCTTAAATCTCTTACCTCGGGGTACCTGGGTGGCTCAGTCAATTAAGCTTCCAACTCGATTTTGGCTCAGGTCATAATCTCAGTGTCATGAGATGCAGCCCTGCGTCAGGTTCATCTGGGTGTTGGGCACGGAACATGCTTGAGATTCTCTCTCCCCCTCTTCCTCTGCCCCCCCCCCAAACAAAACCTCTTAGGCTTACCCTGCCTCTGCTATTCCTGTGTGCAAAAACCACAATAAAGTCTCTCACCCATGTTTTCCCCTTGCTCCTTCTGACTCCTGACCCACCCTAGGGCTTCCCTGTATGGACATAAACTTTGTGTATGGTATGTCTAGAATTGGTTTGGTATAAAATATTTTATGCGTGTGGGCAAGAACTAGAAAGAAAAATGGGAAAATGAGAACTGTATCAGGGTGGAGGATATACAGCTTTTACCAGGCCTTTATATAATATCAAGTAGATATTAAGATATTTAAGATTTTATTTGTCAGAGAGAGAACAAGAAAATGAGCACAAGCAAGGAGAACAGCAGGCAGAGGCTGAAGCAGGTTCCCTGCTGAGCAACAAGCCCGATGTGGGATTTGATCCCTTGACCCTGGGATCATGACCTGACTCAAAGACAGACGGTTAACCGACGGAGCCACCCAAATGTCCTTCAGTAGCACATTTTAAAGCCCATCATGGATGCAAAGATGGGAAGCCACTGGAAAGCGGGGCTAGAGGAGCAGAGATGATAACTCTGTTCTCACCAGAATCTTGTTACCAAAATGGAAGGTTTTGTTCTTTGTTTTTCCTACTCAATACCGTTTGCCAAATAACCAAACAGTATTTGAGGGCAAGCAGGTAATTTATTCAGTAGCTAGAGAACAGAGAAGGAGAGCTCATGCTCTATAGGCACATTTTTCCTATTAGGTCTCATGGTCAGTGTTTTATGGGATTAAGGTAATTAAGGGGCTGGTAAGCAAGTGGACCTTGGGGCTTTGGGGGTGGGGGGTGTGGAGAGGAGACGTCTCAGAATGAGTGCGCCAATTCTTTTCTTCCCTTTAAATGGGTGCAGTCAGGTCTATCATGGCACTGATAGCTGTGTTCTCTGTTAATACAATTAGATGTCACTGAGCCGGAGGCTATGTGTGGAGGGTTAGCACGGCAGCTTGAACTGAACCAAACCGGTGGAAAACTGTGTCATGGGGTCTTGTTTGGAGTCTATGGCTTCTGGTATCTGGCTTTAGTTTCTGGTGGCAAGCAGCATCTGCCAGCAGGACTCAAAAACTGGGCTATGTAGCTTGTATGATGGAGCTTGTTAGTCTCAGGTGACAACGTCCACGCTCAGAAGTCGTGGCAGCCTGGCAGTCTGCACGATTCTAGGCGGGCTCAGCGCAGCCTCCCTTCTTTACAACCGGAACCCTCCAGAGTCGTGTCTACATTTTCCAGTCGGCGGTGAAAGCTCAGTACCCGATCTTCCCGGAAGTTGTTGCTCAGTCGCTTCCGGGGCAGGGTGAGGCGAAGGAAGATTACGAATGGGTCGCAGTCGCAGCCGCTCCCCTCGGAGGGGTGAGTCCAGAAGGAATTTGGCTGGTCTGGGGCTTGGTCGGAGGCGTGGCCCCCCCCTCCCTTTCTCACCCCAAGTACGATCGCAGCGGAGAAAGGGGCTTTTTTCTCCTGAGGTGGAGAAGAGTGGGGTTGGATGGGGGTGGGGGAGTACGAAGACTTGAGCCCTGTACTTTTCAGCCCTCCGGTGTGAAAGCAGTTTTCCCTTCTCTGAGTTAGAGTTTCGCGGACTCTCTGTCAGACTCATACAATAACTTGTTTATACTTGTGACTGAAGGATTTAGAATCAGACCACGGTTCCCTCACTAATTTCTGGGTGGCTTTGTGCAAGTCATCCAGCCCTTCTGAGGCCGAATTACCGTAATTAGACATTGGGGTAGTACTATCTATCTTTAAAAACTGACGTGAGAATTAATGTCACATTCCATAACACTCAGCATGTGGTAATGGCTAGTTCTTGAATGCTCATTGTTCGTTTCCTTCCCAGTTTATGTAATAGGAAAAGCGATATTTAGCATTTTGCGTCCAGGGAGCGCATCTCGTGATATCTTCTGGCACCCACCCCCATAAATAAGGCAGTGGGAAGTAAAGAACAGGACTTCGATCAGGAGATCTCACTTAGACCCTCTGTTCTTCTTCCTCTGGTTGGTTTTTATCACTTTCACTAGTCAAGACCCTAAAGTTGAATGAGGCCACGATCCACATACGGCTATGGAGCACTTAATATGTGCTCAGTCCGAATTAGGAACTGCTGTTTAAGTGTAGAATACACTCCAGATTTCCTATTAAACACCAAAAAAAAAAAAAAAAAAAAAGTCAGTAATTTTTATATCGCGTACATGGCGAAATGATAATAGTTGGGATATACTGGGTCAAATAACAATATTAAAATTAATGCTACCTGTGTCTTTTAATTTTTTTAATATGACTCCTAGAAATGGCTGGCATTATGTTTCCATCGGACGGCGCAGCTCTAGAAATTTGAAGTAATGTTTTGCCTCTGCAAAAAGATTTTGTGTGTTTGTATTAGAGCGCAGGCGGTCCCGGTCCACGTCCCGTGAGCGAGAACGCAGGCGCCGAGAAAGGTCCCGGTCCCGGGAGAGAGATCGGCGAAGGAGCCGCTCTCGATCCCCACACAGAAGACGCTCCAGGTGAGTGCAGAAAAAACCCAGAAGTTGTACCGGCCCCAAAGAAACTAGTCGCTGCCCTTGGATTTGTTTTTATCACTTACAGGGAATTTACAGTTTCATGAAATGAGGGGAACTTAAGCCCACCTTATTTTAAACTGAACATTTACATTGGTAAGATGGGGTTAATCACACACTATGCCATAGAGTTGCCTTGAGGAGGCAATGAGAAATAATACATGAAAAACACTAGCGTGGTGCTTGGCAGGAGTAGGAAGTAAAGGTTTTGTATTTTGGGGTTTTTTGGTTTTAGGGTTTTTTGGTTTGTTTGTTTAAGGTTTCATTTTTATAAGTAATCTCTATACCCAGTGTGGGCTCCAACTCGCCGTCCTGAGATCAGGAGTCGCATATTCCATGGACTGAACCAGCCAGGTGTCCCTGTTTTGTTTTTACTAACTTTTCGGTGATGAGGCTTTACTCAAATATATAAACAAGAATGTGACATCTTGAAAGAACCTTAGAAATGGACTCTTGATTCTTAAGTATCAATTGCTGTTTAAGTCAGCTTTTTTGTGTATTTGTAATTGTTAGAAACTTATTTTTCTGCCTTACAGAAAATTTTTTCAGCCCTAGCTGTACTGAGACTGATGATTAAAGCAATAAATTACATTTTTGGCTTTTTGTTAACAGTGAGGGCCTAGGCAGAACCTTCTTCCTTGTTCTGCTATGGGGAATGGACTCCTCGTTCTCTGGAACCTGGCTTTTGTTCAGCCTTAACCTTTTTGGAGCTCATGTACATGTTTGCCAGTCAACACAAGTCATCAGTTATATCTCTGCTTCTGCTGTCTTTACTTATTGAATATTAGGTCCCCAAGACGACATAGATCCACATCTCCTTCCCCTTCTCGACTGAAAGAAAGAAGAGATGAGGAAAAGAAAGAAACAAAAGAAACAAAGAGCAAAGAACGCCAGATTACTGGTAATGTTATTAGATAAATAACTGTAGGAAAAACACAGCTGTGTTCATGTAACTTTAGTCATGATAAAATTATAAAAGTATTATTTGGGGACATTTAAGTATTAGATTTTTTTATAGTGTTCATTGCATATGGTATTGAGATTTTGTTATTATTGTACCTTAGTGAGTTGCTGGTTTTCTGTGGTGCTCTTGGTATAAGAAGGACAGTTAAAAATGAGAATATTCTATTTTGGAAGTACCTTTAAAAGTAGTGTTGTATCTGACATTAAAAGTGGTCCTGCCCAAAGGCTCCAAGCATGTCCTTTTTTTTTTTTTTTTGAAAGATTTTATTCATTTATTTGACAGAGATCACAAGTAGGCAGAGAGAGAGAGGAGGAAGTAGGCTCCCTGCTGAGCAGAGAGCCCAGTGCAGGGCTCTATCCCAGGACCCTGGCACCATGACCTGAGCCGAAGGCAGAGGCCTTAACCCACTGAGCCACCCAGGCGCCCCAAGCATGTCCTTTTTTAAGCATTCTCTTCTGATGGAGGATGGAGAGCATATTCCCTCCGTGCATCTTAAGTTACATTTTGTCCAAACTGAGGAGGAATTTTTTCCAATTTCCAAGTCTTTAGCTAATTGTTTGTGTGTTCTCTGTTGCTGAGATGGAATAACTATTTTTTTAAAGATATTATGTAATTTTAGAGAGAGAGAGAGAGAGAGGGCAAGCAAGAATATGAGCAGAGAAGGGAGACAGGGGAGAGGCAGAAGCAGACTCCCCGCCTAGCAGGGAACCCTGCCAGGACCCTGAGACCATGACCTGAGCTGAAGGCAGACGCTTAACCAACTGAGCCACCCAGGCACCTTGAAATAACTGTTAATCTGTTGCCACCACCCTTTTTATACAGGTCATGTCCCATGTCGTTGGACCCTGCCCCTGGGTACAAAAGTTGAGCCTTCCTATGAAACCTTTCCTAAGCCAAAATGGCATAAAGCAAAGAGTCATGCTTTCTGAAAGTTTGTGGTACACCACTTTGCTTTTACAGAAGACCTACATTAGGGGACGCCTGGGTGGCTCAGTTGTTAAGTGGCTGCTTTCGGCTCAGGTCATGATCCCAGGATCCTGGGATCGAGCCCTGCATCTGGCTCCCTGCTTCTCTCTTTCCCACTCCCCCTGCTTGTGTTCCCTGTCTTAACTGTGTCTCTCTCTGTCAAATCAATAAATAAAATCTTTAAAGAAAAAAAAAAAGACCTACATTGGTACAGTAATTGCTTTTTTCTTAAAAATAAAAATCCTCTTCACATTTCTTTTGGTTAGCAAAAAAAGTACTAACATAGGTCTTTTTTTTTTTCTTTTGAAGTATTTATTTTAGAGAGTGTGTGTGTGCGAGCAAGCACAAGCAGGGAGGGGAAAGGGAGAAAGAATCTGAAGCAGACACACACTGAACGCAGAGCCCGACATGGTGCTCGATCCTACAACTGCAAGATCATGACCTGAGCCAAAACCACGAACTGGTTGCTTAACTGACTAAAACTGACTAAGCCACCCAGGTGCCCCTAATGTAGGTCTTTTCTAAAAGCAAAGTGGTACACCACAAACTTTGGGCAGGTGGGATGCCTATATATAAAGTGATAGGAGTTAAAAAAAATTTTATTTTTGTGTTATTTTTTTGCAGAGGAGGACTTAGAGGGCAAAACAGAGGAAGAAATAGAAATGATGAAATTAATGGGATTTGCCTCTTTTGACTCCACAAAAGTAAGTAAAACATGTAGCCAGTTAAACATTCTGATTTGAATTAATCCATTCATACTGCCACAAATTTCCATATTATTTTACTGTAGCTCATAATTTCTTCCATTCACACAAGTTTTTTCCTTTAGAAAACGTGAAGTATCTGTGTGAAGAGCATTGAGAGCACAGAGAAGGAAGCACTAAGCTGCCATTAGAATTTGGGGAGTGTTTGCCTGATGTTTAATTTTTATCTTCAGGGTGATCAGATGAAGAGGAGGAAGATCATTTGAATAGAGGGAAGAGCTCATGAGAATGTATGTAGGTATGAAGGAGCATAGTGTGTTGTGGGAATTTCAAATTCAGTGACTAGTAAGAGGTGCTGATGGGTTAGGAGTGAGGTTAGAAAGTGAGATAGAGAGCAAATTGTGGAAGCTTTTGATACTCTTAGCCATGCTAAGGAACTTAGAGTTGATTCTTTAGGTGCTGAGGAGAAGAAGCAATGATACGTGCATTTAGAAAGATGAGCCAGGGGGCATCTGGGTGGCTCAGTGGGTTAATCCTCTGCTTTCAGCTCAGGTCACGATCTCAGGGTCCTGGGATCAAGCCCCACATCAGGCTCTCTGCTCGGCGGGGAGTCTGCTTCTCCCTCTCCCTCTGCCTGCCTCTCTGCCTACTTGTGATCTCTCTGTCAAATAAATAAATAAAATCGAAAGAAAGAAAGATGAGCCAGGACAACATGGAGGACAGATAGGAGACAGATTAGGTTGGAGGCAAGGAGAACTGTTGGGTCATGCAAATGAAAGATGATGAAGGCCTGAACTGAGGCCAGAATATTGAGTCTACTCAGGAGCCAGAGTTGGTGGTGGTGGTGGGAGTGAGTAGTCTTTGAGGACTCCAAAGTGATAGGCTGAAACACCAGGAAATGGGGTTAACCAAGAAAGGGTTCTAGGACAGAGAAATGCTGTTAAACAAGAATGAAATTCAGCTGCTGAGAAAGATGACATTGGGTAGCTGTATATATATCTCAAAGCTCAGAAGAGGGGAGAATTGGAAAGTGAGTTTCCTAGCCTTGATCATAATACTGAAGAGAATAAGGAACTGGGGGAGGAAAAGGAGGGTTTTTTAAGAAGATGATGAAGAGAAGGGATTATAGGTTGGGGGGGGTGGGGTAAAGAGTAGAAAGAGATAGGGAGATGGGAAAGAAAGAGAAATGGGGGGGAGGGGAGATAGAGGATGTGGAAAAAGGAGAAGAGAAAGAAGGAGCTAGTAAGAATAGAGAGTATGTGTGGAAGGAATATATATTTTCTTTGAGAATATAGTTTAAAAACATTCTCTAGAATTTTAAGTCCATTTAGTTTTATAAATGGAAATAGGTTCTTAAGAAAAAATGTCAAAAATAATCCAAATCTTGTGAATGGATTGGGATAATCTCAGAATCTGTAAAAGTTTCTTACTAATGGTTGTGATTGTGTAGAGCTCATGTTTTTTTTATTTTATTTTAATTTTTATTTTTAAGATTTTATTTATTTGACAGAAATCGCAAGTAGGCAGAGAGGTAGGCAGAGAGAAGGGGAAGCAGGCTCCCTGCCGAGCAGAGAGCCTGATGTGGGGCTTGATCCCAGAACCCTGGGACCATGACCTGAGCCAAAGGCAGAGGCTTAACCTAATGAGTCACCCAAGCGCCCCTAGAGCTCACATGTTTTTAAAATGACAGTGTATATATAACCTAAGAGGAATACTGAGGCATGACTGTTCTGAGGTAAGAAAATTAGGAGCTCTTGTTCTCACAAATGGTTATTCCCCATTTTTTAATTTAATGCAGTTTATGTATCTGTTTTTTTTCCTTGAGTACACCAAATCCTTATTTGTTTTGCCAAAGAGTATTTTATAAGTGAAATGATTTATTAATGTGTACACTGAGTGAACAAAAATATCTCCAAAGTAAAGCAACTGTAATTTTGCTGTTGTTAGAAGAATAGGGAGGGGAATCTATCAGAATTATTTTTGGGGGGCTGGGGCTGGAGCAGAGGGTTTCTGTTGTTTGATGTTAAGTTCGAAATTCTGAGAATCAGATGTAAAAATGGAACCATACTTTTTTTTTTTAAGATTTTATTTATTTATTTATTTGAGAAAGAAAGAGCATGAGCAGTGGGGAGGAGCAGAGGGAGAAGCAGGTTCTCAGCTGAGCAGGGAGCCCCACATGGGCCTCAATCCCAGGACCCTGGGATCATGATCCTGGAGCCATACTTTTAACTGTAGTCTGTGCTGAAGGTGTCTATTTATAAAAGAAAAAAATAGTGGCGCCTGGGTGGCTCAGTGGGTTAAAGCCTCTGCCTTCGGCTCAGGTCATGATCCCAGGGTCCTGGGATCAAGCCCCACATCAGGTGCTCTGCTCAGCAGGGAGCCTGCTTCCCTTCCTCTCTCTGCCTATCTCTGTCTGTCAAATAAATAAATAAAAAATCTTTAATAAAAAAAAAAAAAAAATAGGTGAGAATTCATACATCCCGTAAAAAAAAGGTGTACCATGAGAACAAATGATGTCATTTGTTTTCTTAAGGACATCTACAAGGATGTTAATCTAGTTTATATGCAGTTAGTTTCATGGCCATCAGTTGTAAAGCTTCTCTGTTCATTTGCCTTTCAGTAATGTGTATCTTGTGATATTTCATCATAGGTCTATGCTACTTTTTCATGTACCAGTGTGGTCACTTATTTTCCCTTAAATTTTCACATTCTAGAATGTTTCAGAGTTCGGTTATGTTTGTTAATGGGTAATTTTCTATTTTAGCATGTAAATCAAAACAGGCTAATAATATACAACTCTTCAAATAGCTTTCAAAAACCGGTAATCCTTTAGGAATTGAACTTAATAAAATAGAATCATTACTTTTTTTCTAAGCCAGTCTTTCGAAATCCTGCCTGCTTTCTGTTTTTGGGAGGGTAAAATTATACACCTCAAGTAATTTACCCAGTATTGTACTCTCCGCACCCTCCCAACAATGTAGTGAAAACAGGAATAGAAAAGTAAAACCAGATACATGTATTTATTATTTTTATAAGATTTATTTATTCTAAGTTTTGGAGAGAGTGCAAGCAGGAAAGGGGCGAAGGGAGAGAGAGAATCTCCAGCAGAACCTCCACTGAGTGTGAAGCTCGACACAGGGCTCAATCCCACAACCCCCAGATCATGACCTGAGCCGAAATCAAGAGTCAGACACTTGATCAACTGAGCCCGCCAGGTGCCCCCAAGTGCATTTACTTTAGCTCCACCTCAAATATATACCTGACCTGTGCATCCCTTTAAGGCAGTGGAAAAGAATCCTTTTTTTATCCTAACAGAGATACCTAGTAAGTGTGCTATGCAGATAGGGTATACTCTCATGAGTAATGGTGGGGGAGGGAGGGAGGGAATTGGAGGTCACATGTGTATGAAAGAGATGGCATTGATCGCTGGTGTTCATATATTTAACAGTCATTTTCTGAGCACCTGCAAGTTCAGTGTCCTAGGGTGTGAGAATGCAAAGGTAACTGATATCCATATCCCTCCATCAAGAAGCTTTCAGTCTCAGAGAAAGTAACATCATGTATATACATCATGAAAATGCAAGGTAGAAAATGGAAGGTATTATGAGGGAAGCACAGTTAACAGTCTGGGGAAGGGTAGTGGGTTTCTGCCGGCTGAACCACTGGAATTGGCCCTTGAATGGTGGATAAGAACTAGGTGGTTGGGGTTCTTGGATGAGGGTTGAGAAGGCAGTTTAGACATGAGAAACAGCAAATGATGAGTTAACTTGGCCAGATCAAAAGACCCATAAAGGAGTTAGTGAAAAAGAAGGTAGATGCCACATAAGAAGGGCTAAGATAAAAGTGACACTTAACATTAACACCTGTTATTCTGCATTCTGGGTTTTTAAAAGATTTATTCATTCATTCATTCATTCATTTATTTTAGAGAGGGGAGGTAGGGAGAGGGGCACAGGGTGAGGGAGAGAATCCCAAGTAGACCCCCAGCTGAGTGTGGCTGTCTCATGACCCTGAGATCACGACCTGAGCCAAAACCAAGAGTTGTATGTATAGTCAATCAACTGAGCCACCTAGGCACCCCTGTATTCTGATTCTTGATTGAAAAATCAAAATTTTAAGGCCTGTGCAAGAAAGGAGATCTGAATGAATGGTGACTGTTCCAGCTGTGATTTGAGCTGTGAGCTTAGGTCATAAGTTAAATTTTCCTAGAGAAAATAGCCGTAAGTGGTATTTGGTTTCAAAGAATTCTTGGACCAAAAAAGATTAAGAACCTATTTCTCTGCATGCCTTGCATATAAATATATATACCATGAATGTTTGTTGGCTTGGATATTTGAATATGTTAGATTATGTGTGACTGTAAAAATGGGAACAGAGTTTTAATACATGGGAGTTCATGGAATATCATCATTATCTGAAAATTCTCTCATTGGGCTTCACCATTCTTAAATGAATTTTGCCATTTGAGTATGTTTAGAGGATCCAGCTCTTTGAGGCATTTAATATATCCTTCCCATTTTTTATATTTGTTTATTGCTTTTCTCTAGGGGAAAAAGGTGGATGGTTCTGTAAATGCCTATGCCATAAATGTGTCTCAGAAGAGGAAGTACAGGTATGCTTAGCTCCCATGACTATGTTTGAACTAATGATAAAAATTAGGTGCTTGGGAAAGAATTTATTTATGAGATAGCTGTGTTTGTAGGAAATGTAGCAGTTTCGTATAGTTCCTTGTTTTGATCTTCTTTGCTTATATTCTGGTGTGTTAGAATAATTTCCAATTTACATGTGAACTAATAACTATTACAGAGAAGGCTGTTGGCTTAAATTTTTTAAAACTCAACATTGTTCTTTTTTCAAAACAGCATATTCTCAAGTCTTCAGGCTTTAATTTTATTACATTTACAGATTTAAATTCGATCCCTCCTGAATTATTAACCTAGAATGATTGTGTAAAGATTTCAGCTACAAATATATTTTTCTGTTGAGTATCTTAAGTATATTAAGGCATATTTTATCAATACCACAGAAATAAACAATCCATACCTGAAATTTCACTGAATTCATAATGACATCTTTTTTTTTTTTTTTAAAGATTTCATTTATTTATTTGACAGAGAGAGATCACGGTAGACAGAGGCAGGCAGAGAGAGAGAGAGGGAAGCAGGCTCCCCGCTGAGCAGAGAGCCCCATGCGGGACTCGATCCCAGAACCCTGAGATCATGACCTGAGCCGAAGGCAGCGGCCTAACCCGCTGAGCCACCCAGGCGCCCCATGACATCTTTAAATGCCTTTCTCTCAGCCTTTACCAATGATAAAAGATTAGTATTCCAATTAGCTTAGAATATGTATAATGTGATCTGAGAATGCTGTGAGTTAAGGTGAGGACTGGAATCATCATTAACGGCCCTTTGCAAAATTATTTTCAAAGAAAGTCTTAATGGGGAGAACTAGTACAATATGCAGTCATATTTACATGATGGGTACCTATTTTAGAGCTCTTCTCTATTTCCTTATTATTACCTGTAAATAGGGATTTTCAATCTTTTTTTTTTTTTTTTTTTTTTTTAAGTCTGTAGAACCTTTCCAAATAATTTTGGAAGTATATTTCCATCTTTCTGTTTGGATTTTAAAGAAATCTGAAAGGCTTTAGGTTATTTTGAAAATGATATAATATCCTTAATGTGCATTAAATAACCATGAATACTTTTTGCCCTAGACTTTGCCAATTTAAAGATGATTTGTATTATTATTTTTTTATAAGAGGAGTCCAGAATTTTTTTTTAATACACAATGAGTTTTCTCTTCTCATCATAGGCAGTACATGAATCGAAAAGGCGGATTCAACAGACCTTTGGATTTCATTGCATGAAAACTGAAATGATAAAGAATGATTTTTTTTCCTTTACCTTGTTCAGAAGAGTGGATTTTGTATTTCATATTTAATATGCATAAAAAACAGGATCACAGTCCTTCCTCCTTGTAAAGTAAGAAAATTTTTATTTATGATGTATGCAGTTCACATACCCTGACTCACAAAAAGGAAAATTAAATACTACATTTTTTTCTTTTAGGAAATATCATTTGGGGCAATCAGCCCCATTTTTTTGTTCTTATTATTGTGGAATCTGTATATGTTTTCTTCTTGGGTGCACGTTAGGACTTTTTTTAAACACATAAAAGTAATTTGGATATAAGTTTGTCAAATAAAGCAATATTTCTACCCTTTTGTATTTGATAAATATTTGTATTGCTGTATAAAATTTTCCCCCTACACAGTTTTTCTCCCCTACGTAGATTTAGATTTCATTAGTAACTTACAAATAACTGGGGGGTTTTTTGCCCCAATTATTTCCTCCATTTATTGTTTTTCCCATTTTAAAAACCAAATATGCTTATTATATAAAAACTTGGGAGAAACCAAAAAGCAAAAAGAAGAGCCAAAAATCACCTATATCTATCCCCAGAAACAATATTTTGATATATGTCTTTCCAGCCTCCTATGGTATATATTTATTGTCCCTACCCGTTATATCAGAATTTATATGCTGTTCTCTTTTGCTAATCTTTTTTCTCCCATGTACTGTGAACAGTTTTTAATACTTACGTGTTATTTAGAAACTTAACTTTTAGTTAAATTTAGCTACTTGGTTGTACCATAATTTATTAACTGATCTTTTATGAGCAAACATTGGCTTACCTCCCATGACTTGCTGTTTTAATTAAAACTGTGAGTAGTATTCCTGTTACATACATCTTTTTGTACTTGTTGCATTATTTCCTCAGGTTCCATTCTTAGATGTGGCATTGCTGGGTGAGATAAAGGGGTGTGTGTGCATGTCTTAAGGCTTTTGATATATGTATGGCTAGAAAGGTAACAACCATCTCTCACCAGTAAAGTATAAGCATTCTGATTTTCATATGTGGGCACCAGTGTCAGGTGTAATACTTTTTAAAATTTCCAATCTGGTAAACTAGTATTTGGTTTTAATTTGTTCAGTTGCTAAGGAGGATGAACATTTAAAAAATGTGTTGGTCATATATATATATACATTTGTGTGAAATGCTTACTCCAGGTCTTGGAGCCACTTCTTTTTTTTTTTTTTTTCTTAAAGACTTTTTTAAAAATTTATTTGACAGAGATCACAAGTAGGCAGAGAGGCAGGCAGAGAGAGAGAGAGGGAAGCAGGCTCCCTGCTGAGCAGAAAGCCCAATACGGGACTTGATCCCAGGACCATGAGATCATGACCTCAGCCGAAGGCCGCGGCTTAACCCACTGAGCCACCCAGGCACCCTTTGGAGCTGCTTCTTTTGGCAAGCTTTTCTTTTTCTTAGTTGAGGGAAACCCTTTTTATACCAAAGATGACAACCACTACCCATTCTCTTTCATACCTTGCTGATATTTGAGGTTCTGTGGTTAGATTTTATTTTACTTTATTTTTGAGTAAGTAATACAAACACATGGAACACAATTCAGACAGAACAAAGGGTATATAGGGAAGAGCTAATTGTGCATCCTTTCAGAGATATTCCATATATACACAAACGTATGTGTGTACATATCTTTGTTATTCAAATATAAGCAGACTCTACACACTATTCTGCACCTGTCCTTTTTTTATTTACTAGTACATCCTAAAATTATTTCTTTTATCTTTTATTTAAGTAGGCTTCATGTCTAGCATAGAGCCTAATGCAGGCTTGAACTCACAGCCCTGAGATCAAGACCTGAACTGAGATCAAGAGTCTGGCACTTAACCACCTGATCCACCCAGGCGCCCCAGGATTGTTTCTTACCAGTGCATTTAACACTGTCTCTATTTATTAAGGGCAGCAGTCGCGGCTCATTATAGGATGGACTGTAATAGTCCTTATTGATGGGCACGCATATTGGTTGTTTTTTAAAAATAGTCTTTCACTGTTTTTAAAAATTTGGGGGCACTTGGCTGGCTTATTCAGTGGAGCATGTGACTCGGGGTTACGAGTTAGAGCCCCACATTAGGTATAGAGATTACTTTAAAAAAAAACTTTAAAAAAAGGATTCTATAATCACCATCCTTGTATGTAAATGATTTTACAAGCATTTTTAGCTGGATTATAAATCATTATTACATCTAAAATTTGACCACCTGTTGTAGTTCTTTAAAAATTTTCCTGGGAAATTCATTTCCTGCAAAGAAAATAATAGTAGTGTGACTGCACTGCATAATACAGTGCACAGAGCACCTTGGTTTATTTAATCCGTAAGAGATGGAGCAGGTACTACTATCTCCATTTCCCAGATGAGAAAGCTGAGGCTTTTCAAACCATAAAAGCAGGAAATACTGGGATTTACGCTACATCAGTTGCACAGTTTGTAATACCCATTGCACGAATGTCCCTGCCCCCAGGTGGTTAGATTATTTTGCTTGGAGTTTTTTTTTTTAATTTTTTATTTTTTTATAAACATATAATATATTTTTATCCCCAGGGGTACAGGTCTGTGAATCGCCAGGTTTACACACTTCACAGCACTCACCATAGCACATACCCTCCCCAATGTCCATAACCCCACCTCCCTCTCCCAACCCCCCTCCCCCCAGCAACCCTCAGTTTGTTTTGTGAGATTAAGAGTCACTTATGGTTTGTCTCCCTCCCAATCCCATCTTGTTTCATTTATTCTTCTCCTACCCCCTTAGCTCCCCATGTTGCATCTCCACTTCCTCATATCAGGGAGATCATATGATAGTTGTCTTTCTCCGATTGACTTATTTCGCTATTGCTTGGAGTTTTGCCACCTGAGCTGTTTGTCTCTACAAACAATTATCCACAATTATCCACAATAAGGACTATTTCTGACCACATTTGTGCACACTTAAGGAAGGCAGATCCAGCTGTGGTTTTAATAAGGAAGCTAAAACTTCTGGGATAAAATAATATACCCAAGACCACATTACAAATTTTTGGATTGTCATCTTTGTGTGGTGTTAATAGAGATTTGACTCAAGATCCCCAAAGCAGCAAGCTTGGTAAAAAATAACGAGAATACCTCGTAGGTCAATAGGTTTGCTCTCCATGAGCTAACACCAAGAAATGGAAGAGGAAGACATCTGAAAAGCCAGAGATAAGACACCTGTGATCCTAAAGGAAGTCCTGTTTTTGTTTATTCATTTGGGGGTTTTTTGTTTTTAAGATTTTTTTTAAGAGATAGAGCATAAGCAGCAGGGAGGAGCAGAGGGAGAGGGACGAACAGACTGTGCTGAGCGTGGAGCCCGAGGTAGGGCTCAGTCCCACGACCCTGGGATCATGACCTGAGCAGAAATCAAGAGTTGGGTGCTGAAGAAACTGAGCCACCCAGACACCCCAGAAGTCCTGGTTTAAAGAAAGTTTTATCCATCAGATCATCTGATTCTGTAAGAACAAATACGGAGCATCTTTGTCTTCCTCTAGCAAGCTGCTGCTTCTCAGACATAAATTGTACCATATCTTCTCTTTCTAAGTATCTAAATGTTGGAGTGTGTTGGGGTTTAATTCCTGGACACTCCATTCTCTTCCTTACTGAGTCTCCAGTGTGGCTTCCAGCTTATACTTCCAGCCTAGCCATTTTATTGAATTGTAGGCTTGTGCAGTTGTGCAGTTATGTGCCTAGATTATTAGGCACCTCAAAGTTAAGGTTGACTCAGTTCTCATTTCCCTGCCCAGCCTTTTCTGAGGCTTCCCCATCTCAGTAAATGGCCCATCCTTTCACTCCTTTGCTCAGACCAAAATCTGTAGGGTCATCCTTGACCTCCTCTCTCATACCCCACATTCATTAGCAAACTTTTTGGCTCTAACCTCAGTATATTTTGCATCCAACTGTTGCTTTTTTCCCCCCCAGATTTACTGAGGTATAACTGACATACAAAACTTTAAGATATTTAAAGTATACATCATGGTGATTTGATAGACATTGAATCTGACCACCTACCACCTAGACTAACATAAGTTATCTCTCTTGCTTGGATTACTGCAGTAGCCTCTCTTGAAGCAGCAGAGGCAAACCTTTTAAAATGTGCATCAGGTCATGATTTCAACTCAATTCATGATCTCAGTGTCATGAGACCAAGCCCAGTGTCAGGTTCCATGCTGCAGAGTCTGCTTGGGATTCTCTCCTCTCCGTCATGCCTACCCCACCCCCCACCCCCATGCACTCACTCTCACTTGCTCTTGCTCTCTGTCTCTCACTAAAATAAATAGATAAATCTTCTTAAAAAATAAGGTCCAGTCCTTACTGCAGTGTACAACCCTATACAGTCTGAACCCTGGCTTCCCACAGTCTCACCTACTTGCTGCTGCCTTTAACCAAGCTCCTGACCTTGCTGTTCCTTGAGAACATGTGTGAATGTAACTCAGTCTTTCCACTTGCTCTTCCTCCTGGAATGTTCCTTTCTGCTCCCCGACTTCCACCCTGATTTGCAGGGGTGGCTTTATGTCTCTGCCCAAAATAAGGTCATTCCTGACCATCCTATCCAAAACAGCAACCCTGCTTCCCTCTCTATCCCTTTACCCTGTTCTACTTACTTTAACGTTTAAAAAAATAGAGGAGAAATTCACACACCAAAAAATTCACCCTTTTACAGTGGTACCATTTCAGTGGGTTTTAGTATATTCAGGGTTTGGGGGGTTTTTTTGTGTGTTTTCTTTTTTAAGATTTTATTTACTTGAGAGAGAGCACAAGCAGGAGGGACTGAGGGAGAGGAGAAGCAGAGTCCCCACTGAGCCACTGAGCAGGGAGCCCAACATAGGGGACCATGACTTGAGCCACCCAGGCGTCCCTAGTATATTCAGTTATGTATCATCACTGTCCAATTACAAAATATTTTCTTCACCCCAAAGAGATCCCATACCCAATCAACAGTCACTCTTCATCCCTCTCTGCCACCCTCATTCCCACCACCCCTGAAACCACTAATGTACGTTTTGTCTCTAAAAATGGGCCTCTGGCACCCAAAAATGGGCACCCAGGTGGCTCAGTTTGTTGGGCAACTGCCTTTGCCTTGGGTCATGATCCTGGAGTCCCAGGGTCAAGTCCCGCATCGGGCTCCCTGCTCAGCAAGTAGTCTCCTTCTCCCTCTGACCCTCTCCCCTCTCATGCTCTCTCACTCTCTCTCAAGTAAATAAATAAAATCTTAAAGATGTGCCTCTTCTGTACATTTCATATAAATTGAATCATACAGTATTTGGCCTTTTATATCTGGTTTCTTTCACTTAACATGTTTTCAAGGTTTGTTCCCATTGTAGCATGTGTCATTACTTCATTCCTTTTTTAAGTCAATTAATATTCTGTGAATCTACCACATTTTTACAATTCATCAGTTGATGGGCATTTGTACTTCACTTTCTGGCTTTTATAAGTAGTGATGCTAGGAACATTAGTACACAGGTTTTTGTATGAACATATTTTCAGTTCTTTTGGGTGTATAACTAGGAGTGGAATTGTTGGCCCATATACTAATGTTTGACTTTTTGAGGCACTGTCAAACTGTTCTCAAAAGCAGCTGCACTATTTTACATTCCCACCAGCATATGTGAAGCTTCCAGTTTCTTCATATGTTCTGCAAAGTTTCCTTTTCCTGGTAGGAGTTATCACTGCTTGACATACTGTATTCATTTATTACAGTCTGGTTTTTTTTTTTTAAGATTTTATTTATTTATTTGTCATAGAGAGAGAAGCAAGAGCGAGCACAGGCAGACAGAGTGGCAGGCAGAGGCAGAGGGAGAAGCAGGCTCCCTGC